CCCCCCCCCCCCCCCCCCCCCCCCCCGCGCTAATCTCCTATTGTGTCTCCTGAGACCTTAGTAACAAATCCAGTAGCTATCTCGGCAGAAGCCTGGATTCAAAGTCATCTGATATAGTTCCAGCCTGTGAATGTATCTTAGCCCAGCCTAAGACCCCATCCAGTTGATACTGGCTCTCAGAAAATGCCCAAAGCCCTTTTCCTAGTCCTAAAATAACCTCTTCGCCTCAGGGGTGGAATTTTGTCTCCTTTTGGTGGTGTTTCCATCCTAACGTGAACAAGGGTTAAGTTCCGTATGTTTGCTCATCGCGCATGCTCCATCTTTCCTTAGGCGTAGTTAAGTTTTCCCCACCCTTTTCATCAAATTGTATGCAATCACAACCCTTCTGATTATAAAACACTTGTTCTCTCCTCCTTTGGGGAGATGAATTTGAGGCTAGTCTTCCAGAAGCATTTTTCCTTTGGCTGCCGATCAAATCTCTCCTTGCTGCAAACCTGATGTCTCTGTGATGGGTTTTGTTGTGCATCCGCATTCTTGGGTTTGTTTCCAGCTCCATTTTGATCTTGATTGTTGACCACTGGTGTCTGTCACGGTTTTGCCAAAAAGGTGCACAAACACAGATACCAGAGATGCATTTGGTGGGCATCCTTCCAGAACTTAGGTTCTGAAAAAGAGCATTGGAACCAGAAGAAATCGGCACTTCATAAGAAAAATAACTTCTGGGTCATTAGAATGGTTAACTTCAGAAAATGTTTCCGACGTGAAAACTTTAGATCCCATGGAAAATATATATGAGCAGGGACTCTTTCTCACCAGTGAGTCAATCATTCATTCCCTGTGGTCATGATCCATTTCTTTCTTGCGACTGCATGATTTCATCAATCCATGATGATACTTGGGTATTTGTGCTAAATTGGCTATTTTTCAGTCCATACTGTCTGGCATAGGACGTATCTCGAAAAATTAGTTCTAAGACCATAGTCCCTGAGCATGACTTCATTGTCGAAGAGATCGTGACTTTGTCTCTTGCTTGGTTCGTGTTCTTTGGCAATTTACCTAAGCTTCTAAAACTCATCTGACTCATAAAAGAGATAACAAAGACCAGACAGTTTGCTAAGTAATGTGTGATTAGGAAAATATGCATTTTATGGGGTGCCTGGGTGGCTCAGTTGCTTGAGCATCCGGCTCTTGACTTGGGCTCAGGTCATGATCTCATGGTTGGTGGGTTCAAGCCCCGTGTCGGGCTCTGAGCTGGTAGTGCAGAGCCTGCTTGAGATTCTCTCCCCCTCTCTCTGCCCCTCCCCTGCTCACGTGCTTGCTCTCTTGAAATAAATAAACTTAAAAAAAAAACAAAACAAACATACATTTTAAGTGAGGTACTTTCCGGAAAGCATCCAATAATACACTATACGAAATTATTTCAGTATCTAGATAACAGGAAAAGCAAAATTGTTCCAGAGGACTGGGAGCTGACCTCACACTGCCTCAAGGGCCTAGATAAACCCTGTGGAAGAGAAAAATGTCACACATGTCCATCACCAGACAAAGCTACTCTTTGACCAAGATAGATCAAGATAAACAGACATGCCTTCTGTAACTATGTGTCTATAAATGGTAACAGAGAACATTCCAAAGAATGAAAATGACCCAAATTCTCCTCTTCTAATGTAAACGGTGCTTCTCGCAAATTAGGTTTAGCATCAAAACCATTCTTTCTGCCTTATAGATAAAAACTATTATAATTGCCCATTATAGAATTAATCTCACTTCCTCAGAGCAACCCAATACAAAACCTTCCTTGAACAGCAATCATCTAACACAAAATCCAACCAAGAAGTCCTTCTGAGTGTAGTTACTGATACACCCTACAGTGTTTTATGCTCTGGGTCACTCTTACAGCTAGAAATTATTTCTATTACTGACTACAGAATTGATCACGGTGGTCTTTGGGAAGAGGGTGCTGGAAAAAAAAAATGACATACATTTTTGGTTTTATGAATGAATGAGAACCTAGTCTCATGACCAAAGTGAGTATAAAAGAGAAAAAAATAAAATTTGCCTGAGGGGGGAAAAATACCTGAACTTGGGCCCACAATACAGTTGAGTCAGAATGCATAATAAATGTAGAAAATGACAAAAGTTTGATCTGAAAATCCTTAAATCAATGGGACCTTTTAATAAAATATTTTTTTTTCAACGTTTATTTATTTTTGGGACAGAGAGAGACAGAGCATGAACGGGGGAGGGGCAGAGAGAGAGGGAGACACAGAATGGGAAACAGGCTCCAGGCTCTGAGCCATCAGCCCAGAGCCCAACGCGGGGCTCGAACTCACGGACCGCGAGATCGTGACCTGGCTGAAGTCGGACGCTTAACCGACTGCGCCACCCAGGCACCCCTAAAATATTTCAAAGGAAAACTGTAGAAGCATTCATTGGGGGGGGGAAATGCATGTACTTTTAATCACATAGAATTCAACTTAACTGAAAGCCTACTGAGGGATTACGCGAGAAGCGACACAAAACACCCGGAATCTGCCGGTAACGAGGAACGTGCCAGGTTTCAGAGGGAAGAGCGGGGTCACAGCGGTCGCTGCACAGAGCGGAAGGATAAAGTCTCGCGTAATTCCTCTGGACGGCACCCGTGTGGCCGTCATACTGCAATCAGGAACACGCAGGCGGACACTCGCAGTATTAACACAACAGGTGTTTACTACACAAATTCGACCTTGTATGAACCGGATCTAGGGAAGAGGGGAGTAGAGCACACAACCCGTGATGGTAGAAATCTGTTTCCGGGTGGGCACATGACGGATCGCAGGAAATCTCGACTCTGCTGGTTCTTCAAAGTCGGACAGTGGAGACAACTGGAGAAGCCTACTGCTCGGGGTCAGATGGAAGTCTAGCAGTTGGTGGCGGGTTGGGAATACTGATGGGCATCGCAAAGAATGAGGAAAACAGGCTGGAAACAAGCATCCGGAAAGCCCTATCCTTCTGTCTCCTTCCACACAGATGACTCCAAAACCTGACTGAATCCTATTTCGCTTCTGCATTCCAAGTTTCGTGGATGTTAGGCTTTGGTAAGTTCTAACATGAAACCATAAAGGCCACAGATCCTAGAAAATACAGTTCGCGTTACTTACTCGGACACGGGCAAGAGTCGTTCCCAGCTAGGTCTCTATTCGCAATGCATACTTTATAGTCCAAATTCCAAGAAGAAGGAGGGACAAAGATCAAAAGACAAAAGATGAAATTAGTCCTTCATAGGAGACTGTACTCTATGAATAATTTTGCATACGTACAGATATATGGTCAATATTTATTAGCAAGGAGAACAGAGGAAGTCTCTTCAGGCCAACGAAAAGGTTTTTGATCAAAAAAGGTAAAGTGTAGGGGTGCCCGGCTGGCTCAGTCGGTAGAGCACGCGACTCGTGATCTCAGGGTTGTAAGTTCGAGTCCCACGCTGGGTGTGGAGATGGGTGTGGAGATTACTTACAAATAAAATCTTAGGGGCAGCCTGGCTGGCTCAGTTGGTGGGGCACATGACTCTTGATCTCGTGGTCGTGAGTTTAAGCCCATGTTGGGTGTGGAGCCCACTTTAAAAAATAATAAGAGGGGCGCCTGGGTGGCTCAGTGGGTTAAACGTCCGACTTCGGCTCAGGTCATGATCTCGCCGTCCGTGAGTTCAAGCCCCGCGTCGGGCTCCCTGCCGACAGCTCAGAGCCTGGAACCTGTTTCGGATTCTGTGTCTCCCTCTCTCTCTGACCCTCCCCCATTCATGCTCTGTCTCTCTCTGTCTCAAAAATAAATAAATGTTAAAAAATTTTTTTTAAAAATAATAAGAAGAAAAATAATAATTTAAATTTTTAATAAAAAAATCTTAAAAAAAAAAAGGTAAAATATATACACAGGATGGGTAAGGCATATTTAGTACTTGCCGCAGTAAGACAGTAGGAAAGAACCAAGAAATACCAATGTGGAAATTAGAATGAGTCAGGAGGCCAGCAGGGGGAGCTCGAACAGTCTATCACTCACTGTCCCTTGCAGGCCCAACGGGAAGAGACACAACTTCCAAGTACCTAGTACCTCAGCTACTACTTCTACTACCCCCAGAGGAAGATTTTCTACTCCCCTGGCAACAGCCCAGCCAATGGGACTCACAACTCAGCCAATAAAAGGCCACTATACTTCACCCTCCCAGCTTACTCCAATATCCTTTACAAGCGCACTTCCGGTTCCCCCATTTCCTCTGCCCTTTGTTCTCCAGACTTACCCATGGCTTTGCCGGAGCGTGCTTCTCCCGAATTCTCTAGTCTCAGATAAATCCTTTCTTGCTGGTAAGATAGCTGGCCGTTTTATAGTCGAGGTTAATATTATCTGGTGTCAGAAGTCAGATCCTGAGACCGCCTCAACAATTCTGAGGCTGGTGAGCAAATATGCCAATACCCACGGAAACCACCGAGCCCACGGCTTTCTTGCTGCTCCTGGAGTTTGAAGCTATGCTTTCTCCTCGATTTCGAGCCCCAGCTTCCTGAGGTCTCCAGGCTTTCTTCAGGATGGGTTTAAAGGCTTTGTCCTTTCTGCAAGTGTCCCTTGGGCCTTCGGTTCCACTCGTGTTTGGAATTGGGACTGTTCCCATTAAGACTGTGTTAGCCTTTGGGCTGACTCACTTTCAGAACTAGACGGTCCCTCTTGAAACAGTGGCCTCAAGTCTAATTCTTTTGAAACTGGGCTGTCCTATTGGAACTGTGCAGGCCTTTATACCGATTCCTCCTGGAAGTAGGCTTTTCCTGTTGAAACTGTTAATTTTTTTTTTTTTCTTTCTGCTCTAAAGAAAAAAAAAAAAAAACTCAGAAACGGGATCTCAGTCATCAAAGTGCCTTGAGGGTGCCCGGCCCTACTGGGGTCCCTCCTCATATGCATTTCTAACAAAGTGGATGGACTCCATCTAAAGCAACTTAGGGGCACCTGGGTGGCTCAGTCGGTCAGGCATCCGACTCAACTTTGGCTCAGGCATGATCTCAGTCAGGGTCATGAGATCGAGCCCCAGGTGGGGCTCCATGCTGGGCATGGTGCCTGCTTAAGATTCACTCCCTCTGTTCCTCCCCCCAACCGCACAAGAGCGGTTGTCAAAAACTAAAAAGGTAATTTAGAACTTCAATGGGCATTATGGGTAACCTTTGTTCTCCCCAAACTTGTTTCTCTCAAAATTAAATTGAAAAAACATGGCTTATAGAAAACAAAACAAAACAAAACAAAACAACCCTATTTTATTTTTTTTTAATTTTTTTTTCAACGTTTATTTATTTTTGGGACAGAGAGAGACAGAGCATGAACGGGGGAGGGGCAGAGAGAGAGGGAGACACAGAATCGGAAACAGGCTCCAGGCTCTGAGCCATCAGCCCAGAGCCTGACGCGGGGCTCGAACTCACGGACCGCGAGATCGTGACCTGGCTGAAGTCGGACGCTAACCGACTGCGCCACCCAGGCGCCCCAAAACAACCCTATTTTAATCAGTACCTTTGGGCTTAGCCCTTTGTCAGGTTCCAAGCCAAGCACGGAGCCTCTCCCTCCCCCTCCGCTCTCTCCCCTGCTCATGCTTTCACTCTTTCTCTCTCTCAAAAAAAAAAAAAAAAAAAAAAAAAAAAGTTTCCAGTCTTTAAATGTTGAATCCACCAGGCTAGCACCGAACTCTATGTTTATCAACCAGGATCTTTCTCCTTTAGTTAAAAGGACCATGATGGGATGGGAAACTATGTCCCCTCCAGATTTAATCTGACAAGTCGGCACACTTGCTACCTGCAAGGAAGACCGTAAAATTCTCAATGCTCAACTCCAACAACTGAAGGAACAAAACCAAAAATCTTCTAGTTTCTGCTATGGTTGCAAAGAGCCAGGTCACTGGAAAAAAGACTGTCACTAATCAAAGTGCTCCATGCACCCCTAGCCCGCCAGTCAGTCTTTCCAGTGTCTTCCAAATTCCCAATGACCGGGCTCTGAGAAGTTACCAAGGCTCTTTCCAATCACCTCTCCTAATCGCCGCGGAGGAACCACTCTCCCTACTGGGACCACGGAGCTACTCTTAGACTCTGCTGCTAGGAGGCAGCCCCGGCCTCAGAGCAAGAAAACAGCTTGAGTAGCGTATCTAATAATGACCCCAACAGGTTCCCGTCTCTGAACCTATTCCCTTTTCTCTAGGCCCTTTGAGAGATGCACACTCTTTTCTCCTGAGTTCCTTGCTCCCGTCTGTGTATTGTGCCAAGATTTCTCACATAAGTATCGCCTGTAATTTCTTTCTCCCAAATGCAGAAATAATTCTAGAATTTGACTTCTAGTAATCGAAATAGCCAACCTGATGAGTTAGAAGATCTTTAAATGCCCATCAAAACCCCTCACTAGAATTAATCCATACCCTCTAAATAAAGAAGCCCTTTACGGGGCGCCTGGGTGGCGCAGTCGGTTAAGCCTCCGACTTCAGCCAGGTCACGATCTCGCGGTCCGTGAGTTCGAGCCCTGCGTCAGGCTCTGGGCTGATGGCTCGGAGCCTGGAGCCTGTTTCCGATACTGTGTCTCCCTCTCTCTCTGCCCCTCCCCCGTTCATGCTCTGTCTCTCTCTGTCCCAAAAATAAATAAAAAGTTGAAAAAAAAAAATTTAAAGAAGCCCTTTAAGAAGTGTGAAGCCCACAGCAATCCCAAGGCCCACAGCCTCATTGTCCCTTGTGTTAGTAGTAACATCGTTATCCTTCAGCTCTCCATGGTCCCTAACTCCCGTGTATGTTCCTGACGGCCCTCCCCAACGAAAGCTAGTTTTTCACTAGAATCCATCTGTGCAGGTATTTTTAGTATTCCAGGTGATACAGAGAGCCAGTATCTTTTTTTGCTTTATCTTGAGAACTGAAATACATCCAGTCAGTCATGCCTCAGGGTTTCATAGTCTCTCTTAACCTTTCATAAACCTTCTAGGCGGATTTGGAGGATATAAAGTTGTCTACAGGCTTTACTTTCTGACTAATGGAGACGGCTTAGCTTCTCTGCTCCCCTTTCACAGGACAGACAGCACTCCTGTGTTAAACCGTGTGGCCTTAAAGGGCTGCCTTGGTGCTCAGTTGGTTAAGTGCCCAACTCCTGATCCCAGCTCGTGAGTTCGAGCCCCGAATTGGGCTCCGTGCTGGGCATGAAGCCTACTTAAACAAAACCTTTTCGCCTTAAAGAAACATAAAGCCTCCCAGAAAACTTGCAGTTTGCTCGTTCAAGTTTGATATTTAGGGATCTGATCTCAAAACAAGGACTACATTTGGACCCAGTCAAAATCCCTCATGACTGCCTAATGCTTGACAAATTACCTTTTGACTCCACATAGAAAAAGGTACAGGAAACTCCTCTAACGAATGCACATTTTTTGTGATTTACTGATGGTTCCTATTTAAAAGATGAAACAGGGGCACCTGGGTGGCTCAGTTGGTTAAGCGGCTGACTTCGGCTCAGGTCATGATCTCACGGTCCGTGGGTTCGAGCCCCGCGTCGGGCTCTGTGCTGACAGCTCAGAGCCTGGAGCCTGTTTCAGATTCTGTGTCTCCCTCTCTCTGACCCTCCCCCGTTCATGCTCTGTCTCTCTCTGTCTCAAAAATAAATAAACGTTAAAAAAAAATTTTTTTTTTTTTAATAAAAGATGAAACAACTGTGCTGGGTATACTATTACAACACCTTTTGGGGGCGCCTGGGTGGCTCAGTGGGTTAAGGGTCTGACTCTTGGTTTTGGCTCAGGTCATGATCTCAGAGTTTGTGGGATCGAGCCCTGCATCGGGTTCCGTGTTGGCAGCCCCAAGCCTGCTTGGGAGTCTCTCTCCCTCTCTTAATAGAAGAAAATAATCATTAAAGAAAGCAAACAAAACTTTTTTTAAAAACTTTTTAATGTTTATTTTTGAGAGAGAGAGAGAGAGACAGAACGTGAGTAGAGGGAAACACAGAATCTGAAACAGGCTCCAGGCTCTGAGCTGTCAGCACAGAGCCCGACGCGGGGCTTGAGCTCACAGAGATCATGAGCTGAGCCGAAGCCGGACACTTAACCAACTCAGCCACCCAGGCGCCCCACAGAACTCTTTTTGAAACCACTGAGGCAGCACCTTTACCTTTGGCTATTCCAGCCAAATAGGCTGAGTTATAGAAGCCCTTACACGAGCTTGTACCTTATCCAAGGATAAAAGCACATTTATACAGTCAGTATGCCCTTGGGATAGCTCATGACCTTGCAATATTAGGGAGACGAGGTGTCCCTACCTCCAATAAAAAACTAAAAATGTCTATACCCCAAATTTATTAGATGCCACATATTAGCCAGCTACTATGGCAATTATTAAGGTTCCCGGGCATTCCGGATTCAACTCCCTGGAGGCCAAAGGAAACCACCTTGCTAATACTGCCCCCCAAAAAATGCTGCTCTAGGAAAGCAATACTCAAACATGCATCATGTTCCAAAGGGAGATTCTCCCAAATGATAATCAGAAAAGTTAAACAGAGACACCCAATATTGGCCCCAGGAAATTAAAAAAAAAAAAAATCAGAAGTCTAATAATTGTTGGTCTGATAAAAGAACTCTGGTTTGGGCCAAAAAACCACTCAGTCTTCCCAGAAATTCTACAACCCCCACTACTTACCGCTGCACGTGTATTAAACGATGGGTCTACTGACAAGATGAGAGCACTCATGAACAAATACCGGTGGGAAAATGTTAATAGGACCATGAAAACTGCCTACCCCGCTTACCCGTACCGTTCAATGTATAACCCAGGGAAACCAGTTGGCGCAAATTTAGTTCATACAACTTTCCAGTAACGTAGGTATAAATACGCTTTAGGCATGGTTTGTGTACTTTCTCTCTCGTCTGAGACTCTCCCCTAGGGACAGGCCAATGCTTTCACCGTCACTGAAATTCTGTGACAGATGATCCTACCTGAGGAAGCCCTCTTGAACTTCACAGCAATCAGGGAACCAATTTTAACAGTCAGGTGCTTCCACAAGCGACAACTGTTGGGACGTTTACCATCCTCCATCTGGAGGGTTAGTGGAACACGCTAAGGACACTATTAAGGCTCAGTAGGCATATCTCTAGACACCCTTCCAAATACCAGGGCTGATAACACTGCCAACAATAGTTGATAGGCTGATAGTCCTGCCGCAAGTCAGATCCACTCTCTCTGGAACTCACGGACTCTCACCCTTTGAATCGGTCACAGGACGTCCAATGCACTTGGCCCCTGCCTCCTCGGGCCCACAGCTGATAAAAAGAGATATACTTCCATGGTGAAAAGGCCTAATCGCTTTTATTAAAAAATAACCATGCCTTGGTAAGTACAATCTTTTTACGCCGCACTTCTGAGAGATGACAACCTTAAGCATTAAACCTTGCAATGCGGAGGTTCCGTGTGTTGGAGAAGATAACTCCAGACTCTTCAACCTCGTCGGAAAGGTCCTTTTCAGGAACTGCTAACCAACCCTTGGGTTGCCCAACTTCAGGAAGAGACTCTCGGATTCGCAGGATACCTGTCGAGAAAGCACCACACCCTGACTGGACCTGCTCGCTCCGTGGCGAACGGAAGGTAAGGATTTCCCAGAATTGAAGGGGCCAACATCTGACCACACAAGCGTTCCCAAGAGATCCAGACTAGGCCAACACACCTTTTTCTCATTGTTGCTTCTTCTCCCCGTCTTGTGGAAACACAAAGCCCTTGCCTGCATTTCCCAAACCCTTGCACAAAGGGGGCAATCGCTTCTTTTGATTATGACCTTTCAGCAATAGCCTGACCGAGACCCTGTGAGAAATTAATTTTTCAATCCCTTTTTGTGAAGCGTTAGAAGGTTCAAAATTCAGGGGCGCCTGGGTGGCTCAGTCGGTTGAGCGTCTGGCTTCAGCTCAGGTCACGATCTTACGGTTCGTGAGTTTGAGCCCCGCGTCGGGCATGCTGCTGTCAGCACGGAGCCCGCTTTGGATCCTCTGTCTCCCTCTCCCTCTC